CGGGGCTGCGGGCGGAGCCGGGGCGGACGGCGGGCGCCCCCCCTGAACTTACTGCCCCTCCGTAGGGACCACCCCGCGGTCATCAAGCGGCGCTTCACCAGCGTCCTGGTGGTGTCCAGCCTCTCGCCGCTGTGCGTGCTGCTCTGGAGGGAACTCACGGGCATCCAGGTGCGAAGGGGCGGGGCAGGGGCCGCGGGGCGCGCTCGGGGCGAGGCGCGGGGGAGACTGATGCCTCCGTTCTTGTGGCTCAGCCAGGCACATCCCTGCTCACCCTGATGGGCGTCAGGCTGGAGGGCATTTTCCCGGCAGCGCTGCTGCCCCTGCTGCTGACCATGGTGAGTGCGCCCGCGGCCCCTGGTTTCCCACGACTCCCGCGGTCTGTCTTGTTCTGAGTGCGTCCGACTTTTGGGTGGTGGGAGACGGGAAGGTGAGAAGGCCCTCGAGTGTGCATGTGTGGAGATCACGGGCCGAAGGGGGATGCTGGGCGCCCCACAGGGCCCTGCCCGGGCCAGGGCGGCGAACGGCGGTGGAAGTCTCATGCTTGTCTGCCCCCAGATCCTTTTCCTGGGCCCACTGATGCAGCTCTCTCTGGATCGCCCCTGCGACCTGGCTGACGGGCTGAAGGTTGCCCTGGGTGAGTCCTCAGGGCGCAGGCCTGCCAGCACCGTGGGCAGAGGGACACGGATGCGGCCAGGGCGTCGCCGGGCCTCCTGTCCGAGGACGCGCGTCTCTGGGTGTTTTTCCGTATTAGTAAGAGGCAGAGCCGGGGGCCTCAGCGTTGGTGCCCGATGTCTGCTGAGGTTCTGCTAGGTAACTCCGGCGGGACCTGCAGTGCCGCCCCGGCGGCTCCTAACCTTTGGTTTCCGCAAACCGGAGCTGCTCCGGGCACGTTGCCGTATCAGACCCTGTCATCGGCAGGTCCTGCTGCAGCCGCTTAATGTCTGCCTTCTCTCCAGCCCCGTGAGGCGCTGTCACTCGCTGGGTCTGATAGAGCGGGACTCTCTCTTTTCTCAGAGTCTCGGTGCCTCACCCACGACTGGTCAGGGAAGAGTGGGAGCGGGGCCCCCGGGGCCTGTGTTGACGAGCTAGTCACTTGTTGCTTGCTGTGAACCCCGCCCTAGCGCCCCGCTCCTGGGCCCGCTGCCTCACAGACATGCGCTGGCTGCGGAACCAAGTGATCGCCCCCCTGACGGAGGAGCTGGTGTTCCGGGCCTGCATGCTGCCCATGTTGGCCCCGTGCACGGGCCTGGGCCCCGCCGTGTTCACCTGCCCGCTCTTCTTCGGCGTCGGTGAGTCTGTAACCCGGTCCTGCCGAGCGGCTCCCGCGCCAGAGTCGCCCGTGGGTCTGGGACGAGGGCGGGCGGGCCGGGAGGGTGTAACGTGGCTCTGCCTGCCCTCAGCGCATTTCCACCACATCATCGAGCAGCTGCGCTTCCGCCAGAGCAGCGTGGGCAGTATCGTCTTGTCTGCAGGTGAGTCCTGCGGGCCCGCGCCCGTCCTGGGCTGGGGACGTGAGGGGGGTGTCCCTGGCGGCCGCTCCGGGAGAAGCATCGGGAGCGGGGCTCAGCACTGGAGGGCCGGCCACGCGGGGGCGCGGAGGACGGCTCCGGGCGGTGGGAGGCAGCCCTGGCGGCGGGCAGCGTCCAGGCGTGGTCACGTGGGGCCTCCTGTCTCCAGCGTTCCAGTTCTCCTACACCGCTGTCTTCGGGGCCTACACCGCCTTCCTCTTCATCCGCACAGGTGCGTCCCAGGGGCTTGGGGCCCAGGGCTGGGGGTGCGGGAATCTAGGCACCTTCACGAGGATCTTTCCAGGCCTCGAGACAGAAGCTGGGCCCTGGCCCGGAGGCAGAAGGAGCCAGAGGCCAGCCTGGGTGCATGGGGGGGGGGGCGGTGACCTCCTGCTTCCGAACGAGGGGCCTTAGCCCCGGAAGGGTCCCGGGCGGAGGCGGGGCTGCGCCGTGAGCTGCTGCCGTTTCCCTGCCAGGGCACCTGATTGGACCTGTTCTCTGTCACTCCTTCTGCAATTACATGGGCTTTCCCGCCGTGTGCGCGGCCCTGGAGCACCCGCAGCGGCGCCCCCTACTGGCCGGCTACGCGCTGGGCGTGGGACTCTTCCTGCTTCTGCTGCAGCCCCTCACGGACCCCAAGCTCTACGGCAGCCTTCCCCTGTGTGTGCTCTTGGAGCGGGCGGGGGACTCAGAGGCCCCCCTGTGCTCCTGACGCACGCTGCTGCTCAGAACCCCCCCGGACTCGAACGGCCCCCAGCCCCGCAAAGGGGCCCTGCAGGGCTGGCTGGGGTCCCTACGATCTCAGGAATTTTTGTAGGGGATTGAAGCCAGAGCTAGTTACTCCCAGGGACCAAGAGGAGGAGCGGACGTCCCCAGGGGCAGCCCCGCTGCAGGGGCCGAGGAGCAGCTCGGAGGGGCCGGGCGGGTCCCGGAGCCATGCCCGCCCCACCCCACCCCGGACTGCCTCCTGAGGCCCTCCGCTCCCTCGGCCTCTGAAAAGCTGCTTGGGGGTAGAAGCCGTGACCCCCACCTTCCAGGGTTTTCTCATTCTTTTTGCATCAGGACTTTGTATTGGGATATTAAAGAGATTTAACTTGGGTAGCACAGCCTCGGACCTTTGGGAATCGGCCTGTTGGGGTCTGGGTGAGGGCTCCAGGCAGCTCCGGGGAGCAGGTCCACTCCTGTCAGCCTCCCGGGTGCTCACTGTGTAGGCAGGCCAGCCGGCAGGCAGAGCGCCCCCAGTGGAGGGGACGGGAAGGGCCCCTGGCCACCTGGAGGCTGCAGCATCCTCCCTCCTGAGCCCTGTCTCAGTCCAGGTGGCTCTCAGGCTCTGGGCACCAGGTGTGGGCCCAGCTCATCCTGGGGGCAGCTGTGGCCCTGACCCAGCAATGGCACCTCAGCCAGGGCCACTTCAGGGCCTCTGTGGAGTCTTCCACCCCCTCAGAGGAAATAGGTGTTGGGGGGCTTTTCTGGTGCTCTGTACCCCAGGGTTGCCACCCCCCCCAACCTAGAATAGACGGATGACAGCAGGGTGCTGAACACCTGGCTCCTGGGGGCCTCCTGGAACCTGCTGGTGTCCCACCTGCCCTGGGACCAAATTTCACTTTTTAAACTCCCTTTCCCACCCATTCACTGAGCGTTTGTAGCGATTTGCCATCTCATCACGCCCCAGGGGGTCCCCCTCCCAGAAGCGACACCTGTCAGCACCCGGTCTGCCACTAGCGGGTTCTGGCACTTGGGCTGGGAGGCTGGCCCTGGGCATAGAGAGGGCAGTGGCTGGGCCTGGTGCCAGGCAGCCTGGGCTCAACCCTCCCGGCTCCCAGCAGCTGTGGTGTCCTGGACAGATCGCTTCCTCCCGGGACCGGCTTTCTGGTACACAGGTGATGTCCTCAGGACCCGGGCTGTGTGTTGGGTGCTTAGAAAAATCCTCCCCTGCCCTAGAGCATTCAGTAACAAGCACCTCGTCCTTTTGGGGTGTGTGTACGGTAGGTGCTCAACTGGGTGAGATCAAGGCCACTGTTGCTGTCGCCACCCTCCAGCTGCCCCAGGGCTGAGGGAGGCCCAGCCCTGCGCAGCCCACAAGGCCGGGGCTGCATGGAGCAGCCTGGTGCCGATGGGGGTGGGAAGCCAGCTTTATTGAACACAGTCCCAGGACCCAGGGCTGAGATCTGCGCCCAGACATAGGACCCCCCAAACCTCTCCCCAGGTCCCAGGCCCACGTCGCCACCTGCGGTTTCCAGTTGGGGTGGGGAGGGCTGATCCGGCAAGAGATGAGTAACCTAAGTGTGGTCCGCCAGTGGGAAAGGGCGGGGCTGGGGGCTGGAGGCCAGGTCCCTCCGTCACCTGCGGTGGAGGACAGGGCCTCCGGGGCGGGGCCTGCCTGCCCTGTCAGCACAGCTGCTGAGGGCCGGGCCGGGGAAGGCAAGGTCACTCCATCTCCAGGATGAGGTCGTCGCCCTCCAGCGTCATGTCCTTGGCCACGTGCACCTTGCGCACAGTGCCCTCCACGGGCGCGGTCACCACCGTCTCCATCTTCATGGCACTGAGCACACACAGGGGCTGGCCCTTGGCCACCTTGGCTCCTGCTGCCACCTTGATGTCGATCACCTTCCCTGGCATGGGCGCCCCGACCTGGCCCTTCACGTCCTTCAGGGCCTTGGGGTGGAAGTGCATCTCCTGCGGACGGGGCGGAGGGGCTTCAGACCGGGTCGTGCAGCCTGCCCACACCCGCCCCACGGGCCTGGGAGCCGCACCTTCATGGCCTGTGTGTCCTTGACCAGGATGGAGCGGAGCTGCCCGTTGAGCTCGAAGAAGACCTGCCGCTGCCCGGCACGGTTCAGGTCGCTCATGGCCAGGGCCTTGATGTGCAGCGTCTTGCCCCGCTCGAGCTCCACCTGCAGGGGGCCGGCGTGCTGCTGAGCCCACCCCACGAGCATTCCCTGCCCCGGGCTCGGGTCCTTCCTGCTCCCGAAGTGGGAGGGGCTCAGGAAGCCGGGCTGGGGTCCTTGAAGGCAGCAGGGGCAGGGTGGTGGGTGGCGAGCACTGACCTCAAACTCCTCTGCGATCTTGGGTCCCTGCAGGAAGAGGCGGGTGTTGAGGCTGTCCACGGGGCCGAAGGTGGCAGTGAAGTCCTTGAACTGGGCAAAGACGTCCGGGTACATGGCTGCGGACAGCACGTCCTCTGGGGTCACCTCCTCCCCGTGCCGCTCAATCAGCTCCTTCTCTAGCGCCTGCAGGTCCAGGGGTGGCAGGGAGGCGCCGGGCCGCCCCTCCACCCTCGGCAGGTCCTTCAGCACCTGGCGGCGAGTCAGGGTCAGGCCTGCTCCTGCCGGCCCGCCCAGCCCCGGGCTGGGCCCGGCCTACCTTAGAGCGCAGCGGCTCGGGGAAGCCGCCGTGGGGGACCCCGATGTAGCCCTGCAGGAACTCCACCACGGAGCGGGGGAAGGACAGCTCCTCCGCCTGGGCCTCGGCCTCCGCCCGGCTCAGCCCGTTCTGCACCATGAACTGGGCCAGATCGCCCACGATCTTGGAGGAGGGCGTCACCTGAGGAGAAGGGCCTGGAGGTCAGGTGCCAGGTGCTGGGGGCCCAGGGCGCGGCAGGGTGGGAGCGCAGGGCCTGACACACCTTGATGAGGTCGCCCAGCATCTGGTTGGCCTCCACGTAGGCCTTCTTGACCTCTTTGAACTTGGCTCCGAGTCCCATGCTGTGGGCCTGGAAGTGCAGGTTGGTGTACTGGCCCCCTGGGATCTCGTTCTCGTACACGTCCGAGTTGCCAGACTTCATGGTAGCCGTGCAGTCGAAGGCTGAGTATAGTCCCCGGGCCCCCTCCCAGTACTCGCTATAATCAAACACTCGCTCCAGGGGGACCCCTGCAGGAGGCCAGTGTCAGGGCTGGGCCCAGGACTGGGCTGAGCCCCCAGGTCCTCCTCCCAGGACCTGTGGGCTGGCTCAGATCCCTCGTCAGGCTCGGGGGGATGGGGAGGGCCCTGTGGGGAGGCCGGACCAGGTAGCCATTTGGGCCCTAGGACTGGCAGACACTGGGCCTGGGGTCGGGGGCGGCTGCTTTGGGACACTCAGGCTTCTCGCTGCTCCTACCTGTGTCCAGGGGGGTGCCTCGGGTGCAGGCCACCAGGGCCCCCATGCTTGGCTGTGAGGTCATCCCGGACATGGAGTCGGCGGCCACGTCCACGACGTCAGCCCCCGCCTCAGCGCAGGCCAGCATGGCCGCCACGCCTGCCCCCGACGTGTCGTGTGTGTGGATGTGCAGCGGGAGGTCGGGGAAGCGGTCCCGGAGGGAGCTGACCAGCAGGGTGCAGGCCGCGGGCTTCAGCAGCCCCGCCATGTCCTGGAGGAGACAGATGGGGTGAGGTGGGCGGGGGTGTCTGTGGTGAGGAGATGGGGAGTGGGCCCGGGGCTGGGGCTGGAGCCAGGCACCTTGATGCACAAGATGTGGGTGCCAGCGCGCACCAGCTCCTCTGCCAGGCCCATGTAGTACTGCAGCGAGTACTTGGTGCGGCTGGGGTCGGCCACGTCCCCTGTGTACGAGATGGCGGCCTCCACCACGCCCCCGGCGCTGCCCGCCGCCTCCATGCCCAGCAGCAGGTTGGGCAAGTAGTTGAGGGAATCAAAGACCCGGAAGACATCCATGCCGTTCTCCTTGGCCACCTCGCAAAACCTGAGGGGGACGGAAGAGCAGGAGGGACAAGCCCCATGTGTACTCCCTCCTCTGCTCCGCCTGCCTGCAGCCCCTGGGGCACCTGAGGGCCTGGCCTGGTGGGCAGGGCGCCACTGAAGGCTTTCTCCGGGGTCCTAGAGCCCGCCCGACCCCGCTGGCCTGGCACCGTCGCCTCCCTCCTGACGCCCCACCGCCTGCAGTAACGTGGCGCCTGGGGCCCTGCCGCCTCTGCGGCTACACTGCGCTAGCTGCTGGGGGCAGGCCCGGGCGCGCTCACTTGAAGACCACGTTGTCGGGGTAGTTGGTGTAGCCCACGGCGTTGGCCCCACGCAGCAGCATCTGGAATGGGATGTTGGGGATGAGCTCCCGCAGTTCCTGCAGCCGCCGCCAGGGGCACTCGTACAGGAAGCGCATGGCGACGTCGAACGTGGCTCCTGAGGGACCAGAGCCCAGCTCAGTGCCACCTGCGTGTCACCCACAGGCCCCACACCAGCCTGCTCCTCAGGGTCCCCCAGGCTCCTGCCCAGCCCCACAGGCTCTCCCTCCTCTGACCCCGGGGTTGGCTCAAGCCCGATTGGTCCCCCCTGTGCCCCTTGTACTGAGCTGTGCGATAATTAACACCCAAGCTGGGGGCTCCTTCTAGACCCTGAGCCTCCTGCAGACAGTGGCGTGGCCTCAGCTGGCCGCCCCGCCCAGGCTCCTGACGGCCAGCTCCGTAGCTGCCCAGGCTGCAGGGCCGGCTGCACCGTGTGCACCCAGGGCCCACTGTCCAGGCTCCTGCCGGGCGGTGGCCAGCACCCGAGCCCTGCTCGGGCTCACCTCCCCAGTTCTCCACGCTGAAGAGGCTGCTGAAGTTGTGGGCGGCGTAGGGGGCGATCTTCTTGAGGTCATGGGTGCGCACGCGCGTGGCCAGCAACGACTGGTGGGCGTCCCTGAAGGTCGTGTCCATGAGCAGCAGCCCCTGGTGCCTCCGCACGGCTCGGGCAAAGCCCTCGGGCCCCTCGCGCAGCAGGATGTCTCGGAAGCCGGCCGGGGGCGGGCCTGGGGCACACAGGGCACTGGCACCCAGCTTGCAGGCCACACCCTCCGCCCCACCCCCAGGCCCTGGCAGAGGCAATCCCACCTACCTATGGGCACCATGGGCACCACAGGGTCGACGGGGCTGGGGCTGGCCTTGACAGGGATCGGGGTGGTGGGGCCGTTCACCATGACGTGTCCTGTGGGGAGCGGAGCGCGGGCAGGTCAGGGCAGCCGTGCCGTGCCCAGGGAGGGTATGAGCGAGAGGCAGCGGCTCAGGGCTGCCCTCCATTCCCTGCGCCCAGGCAGTGGGGACACACCAAGGCGGGGTGTCTAAGGTCAGGAACAGGGAAGCTGGCCAGGGAGGGGGGCATAGGAGGACGGGCGGGACTGGGGGTGGGGGGCAAAGACGGGGAAGGTCCCTGGGCAGGGGAGGGGATGTGCGGGGAGCCGGACCCAGGTAGTGCAGCAGCTTCTGGGCCCGGTTCTGCACGGGCCGCAGCTGGAACAGCTCCGGGTTCTCGTCGATGAACTGGGTGTCCACGGTGCCGGCCAGGAACTGCTGGTTGTTGAGCACATTCTGGAGGAAGGGGATGTTGGTCTGCAGGACAGAGGGGGCTGGTGTCACCGTGCAGCAGGGACCAGAGGGGCAGGAGGAGACCAAGTGCCTGGGGCCCAAGGCAGCGCCTCCTCCTTGTCCCCACAGCCCCTCCTTCCCCACAGTCCCCCACGGCCCACTGAGGGCCGTCCCTTCCACTCTCCACGCCCCCAGCCACAGTGCCGGGAGGAGCCATTCCTCTCACTAGGTCGACAGGGAGCAGCGCGGTCAGTGCGCGCTTCAGCCCTTCTGCTAACAGTGCCTGCGGTGGTTACGTTTGTGCCGACTCGGCGGGGCCTGGCTGAGTGGCTGGGCAGCAGGTGGCAGTTAGTCCCACGATGAAACTGGCAATCAGCTCCATGGTGGGATCTACCCCAAGCAGCTGAGTAGCTGCCTTTGGAATGTGGTCTGCTTCCTGTATAAAGGAGAAGCCTTTGGGAATGGTCTCTAGCTTATGGCACGCTTGGACCCTGCATGTAGCCATGTCATTCGTTGTTCAGCAGCCTGCCATGCTCTGCCGACCTTGGGGCTTTCAATGGACTTGAATCAATGGCCTGCCGCGGGGTTTGGTAACATCAGGACTGTGGCATTTTATTTGTCGACCTTGGGCTTGTCAGCCTCAGCAGCCAGTAGCTGTCTGAGTAAAGAAAAGCCTCTAGCTTCAGTGGGCCGGGAGCAGGAGGCAGAGCTGAAGCCCAAGGTCGAGGGGCTTTCACCCAGCCCCTAGAGCCTGGCACTTTGAACTTGGACTTAAAGCCTCCAAACTGTAACAAAATAAACCCGTTTGTTGAGGCCATCCCATTGGTGGTGTACTCCTGTCAGAGTGGCACCAGGGAACCAGAACAGTGCCCACTGGCCACGCTCACCCTGCGCTCCCTCCCGCCGCCTCCTCCCTCGTCTCTGTGGTTGCTCTTCTCCCTCTCCCCTGAAGATGGCGCACTCGGGACACTGGCCCTGTGACCTGGACTCTGGGCCTTCAGCCCCGTCTCCAGAGCCAAGCCCACTGGTAGAAAGGCCTGTGAGGTGTCTGTCCTGGGATGCCCTCAAGTTCAAACCAGCCCGCCCTCCCACTCGCAGGTGTCTACCCCGTGAGCAGACCCGCACTCCACCAGCTGCTCCCCGTACCTCCCTTCTAACGGTCAGGGTGGGGGGCCCTGACTGGCAGCCCCTGGACCCCCCGGCTTCCTCCCATCTCCAGCCACGACTGCCTCTGGGCTCCCTCCGTGCCACCTGCCGGGTCAGCGCCTCCCAGGGTGTCAACACGCAGGCCTTCCTGCCCTCCCCTCTCACCAGCACAAGCAGACCCTGTGCCAGAGGGTAACCCCTCGGCCCCAGTCGTCTTCGTCTTTGTGGTAAAGCATGTGAAACGTACAACGTGCCACTGAACCACTTTAAGGGGCACTGAGTGTTGGGGTGAGGAACACGTGTTAGAAACAGATAGCGGTGATGTCCTGACAGATGGCCCCAGATCACGGACAAGTTCCACTCCCAAGTATGTCTTTTAAGTTGAATATGTCTGTCAATCTAGACAGTTAGGTATGGTTCGTATCCAATGTCAGTCAAACATCTGTCATATGCGAGGAGCTCGGCTGGTGTGGTGGGTAAGGCATCTGGCAAGGTCAGCAGTTCAAATCCAGCAGCCTCTCCATGGAAGAAAGATGAGGCATCTGCTTCCATAGAGACAGAGCATGGAAACTCAGTGGGCGTTGCCCTGAGTGGGAATCGATTCGAAGGCAGTGAATTTGGTTTTGGTGTATGGTCTACAGTGTACTTTTCTCTGTGTAAAAAACATTAAAGACTTGGATGTGGACAAAGATGAGTTCCAATGTCCTGAAGTAATAAAAACGGTGCTGTTGTGACGAACCATCGTGTGCACTGCAAGTCTTTACCGTAATGCTCTACAGGGGCAGGCTCATCACTGCAGGTGTCGTGAGTGGCAGCCTGTAACCTGGAGGCTGCTGTGACGTCCCTGGGTCCCACGCTGAACAGCAGCCCCAGCCCTTGGCCAACACCACTCTCCTGTGTCTCTGTGTCTGCCTGCTCTGAGGGCTTCGTGTAATGAGACCTGTGGTATCTGTCCTTTGGTGCACGACACTGCACTCATCATGTCAGGTGTCAGCCATGTCTCAGGGTGTGTCTGACTTCATTTCTCTCAATGGCTGAGTGATACCTGTGTCGGGACACGCATGTGCATCACTCATCCACTGATGGACAGCTGTGTCCACCACTGGCCAATGTGACGGGTATGGCAGTGGATGTGGCATATGGGTTGGCCTGAGTTGCTGTTTCCCGTCTCCTGGGCCCATCATCATCATCTGCTTATGTCGCTCCTCAGGGACCTGGGGACAGGGCTGCTGGGTACCTGGGTCCCATGCCTTGTGCACAGTGGCCCTCAGTCTGCTCAGTAAACCACGGGGTGAATGGCATGGGGCCCGGGCAGGGCACATCCAACCCGGAGGCCTTGTGGCCCGTGATCAAGGCCACATGGCTAGGACTTCAGTGTGTCAGTGTGTGGGCCTGTGGTCAAGTTACAGCCATGGTTTTCATTCCAAACCAAAAAAAAAAAAAAAAAAAAAAAAACCTCACTGCCATTGAGTCGATTCGGCTCACACACAGGGACCCGTCCTTGGGTTTCTGAGGTGGTACCTCTATGGAAGTAGATTGCCCAGTCTCCCTTCCGAGGAGCGGCTGGTGGGTTTGAAGCACCAGCCTTCTGATTAGCAGTCAAATGCCTTAGGCACTGCACCACCAGACCACTCTTGGTTTTCACTCCGGGGGGTCATTTCCACATGCCACCCAGTCACGATTTCTGTTGGCATCCAGCAGAGACTCAAGGCCCGGCTGCTCTAAGACCTGTCCCTTGAGAGCTCCTACCCCTTGGTGGCCTGGATGGGGAAGGGTCCCCCCCACCAGTGTCCCACAGGGGCCCCAGCCAGCACTCATGTCTGTGTGACAGGAACACCAACACTCCCAGAAGTCTCCTGCCCTGGAGACAGCTCCTGCCCCTCCCTAAAGACTCTGCTGCCATCTTGGCGTTCAATGCCGTCCCAAGCAAAGTCCCAACGGCAGTTTTCGGAAATGGAAAAAACATCCTAAAACTCACACGGCCTTTATTTAAGTCACACGGCCAAAGTTATCTCGAAACAGAGAAACCAAGTTGGGGTCCCCACATTTCCTGATTCCAAACCTCCTTCCAGAGCCAGTTATCAAAACAGCATGGTACTGACACAGGGATCAGCTGACAGCACCAAACAGAATCAAACCCAGGAAGAAACACCCTCACCCGTACGGACACTGATTTCTGACGGGCCACCAGGACCACTCCTCAGAGAAAGAACAGTCTTCTCAATGGCAGTGCTGGGAGAACGGGATCTCCACGTGAAAAGCCTGAGGCGGGCCCTCGTCTCACGCCATAGAGAGTAACTCAAAATGGATCATGCTGGCGAAGAATGCTGAAAGTACCGTGGACTGTGAAAGAACTAACAAATCTGTCCTGGAAGAAGTGCAGCCAGAATGCTCCTTGGAAGCAAGAATGACCAGACTTGGTCTCACCTACTTTGGTCATGGTATCAGAAGGGACCATTCCCTGGAGAAGGATGTCATGCTTGGTAGGGTGGAGGGTCTACAAAAGAGGGGAAGGCTCTCAACGAGATGGATTGACAGCGGCTGTGGTGATGGGCTCAGGTACAGCAGGGATCGTGGAGCTGGCGCGGGACCGGGAGGTGTTTCATTCAGCTGTGCACAGGCTGTGAGTCGGAGACGACTCAACGGCACCTAACAACAACAACAACAACATGGATGGAAGACCTGAAGGTAACAGCTAAAACCTTAGACAAATCAGCATGACCTTGGCTTTGGCAGGAGGTTCTTAAATGACACTACCCACAGGCGACAAGGACAGAATGGTGAGCGGGTCTCCATCAAAATCTACACCTTGGGTATCAAAGACACCATCAAGCGAGCAGGAAGACAACCCAAAGAATGGGAGGCGGTCTTTGCAGATCTTGTATCTAGTAAGGGCTTAATATCCACAATAAAGAACCCCCATAATTCAAAAGCAGAAAGCAACCACTCGGTCATAAAATAGGCAAAGAACTGGAATAAGTATTTCTCCAAAGAAAATACAGGTAGTCCCCGATTTGGGACAGGGTTCGTTCTGTGTGACAACTCCATCGTAAGGAGTTCTGATGTATACCGGATGAGGTTTTTTTTTTGTTTGTTTTCATTGATTGACTTTTACCATCAGTATTTTTATGTATTTAATCGTTGTCTTTGGGGGCTGGCGTGGGAATGATGACATGAGCAAATTACATGATGCAACGCCGTATGGAGTCCCTGTTACTAAGGATAAGGACGGTGGTAAGTGCAGCTCATGATAACTCGGATATGTAAGTCGGGGCTCTCTGTGTCTGCATGGCTACTAAGCACCCGGAGAGATTCACAGCACCGTTATTCGTTAAGGAGACGCGGATGGAACCCACAATGAGATCAAACCCACAAACGCACTGAGACGGCTGTTGTTAAACAAGTGACTGGGTTGGGGAGGGTGTGGAAGGCCTGGTGCCCTCACACGTGGCTGGGGGGGAACGTAAGACGGCACGGCTGCTGTGCAAAGCCGTTGGGCATTTCCTCAAAACGCACAATATGGAACTACCATCCCACTGCTGTTGGGTAGCCTCTCCGAGTGACCCTGCAGGACAGGGCAGAAATGCCACGTCGGGTTTGCAGGGCTGTCATCTTTATGGAAGGAAGGTTGGGCAATCCTACTTCTGTAGTGATACTGCCTCGGAAACCCAAGGAGGGGTCGCTATGAGTCGGGGCCGACTCGACGACACATAACAACAACAACAACAACAACAACAATCTCTATGGAAGCAGGCCGTCCCGTCTTCATCAGAGCAGCTGGCGGGTTTGAGCTGCCAACCCATTGGTTCTCAGCTGAGTACTTAACCACTATGCCACCAGAGTACCTGAAAAGCACCTTATGAACCAGCAATTCTGTTCCTAGATATGTGCCTGAAATTGAAAACAGATTCAAACAGATACTTGTCCACCAACCAGTGTTCATAGCAAGGGTGTTAACAGCCCCAAAGTGGAAACAACTCTGGTTCAGCAAGAGCCGCACCCATACAAAGCCTGGTCCATCCACACAGTGCAGCGGTCCTCCACCGTAAAAAGGAAGGAAGTCCTGACGCGCGCTCCAGGCGACTTGCCTGAACCCTGAGTGAATGCAGCCAGACACCCAAGGACAAACAGTGTGTGATCCACTTACACGCGATGCCTGGAACAGACAATTCCCAGAGACAGACAGTGGCTGGAGCCCAAAGGCCTGGGGCGGAGCAGGTGGGGCAGAGTCGGCTCTGGGGTGGGGCAGTCCGCACATGGGCACTGCTGACGGTCTCTCACCATGGTGCCTCTACCGTCACTGAATTGTACACTTAATAAGGGTTAGAACCGCAAATTTCATGGGTATCTCACATGAACAACAGTGAAAGTGCATTTGAGAAGACAGCCCACCCTGGTTAAGTCGCCCCGTGCAGGCCAGCGCTGCAGGAGCCTGGGGCCCAGCCCTGCCGCCCCGCTCTGTGCTGCAAGCCCACAGGGCGGCCGGTGCCAGACACTGAAACAGGTGTGTGGACGAACACGCCTCCGGAAGCCAGTGAGCACAGGAGACGACCCGGGCAGGCTGCGGCCCCCAAACGGCCGGCCGAGGGCGGTGGGCAGGCCGCCTGGCAGCTGACTCTCCGCTGCGGCCCTTTCCTCCCCGCTCACCCCACGACGGCAACCGGCGCCCACGGGCCCCGATGAGAAACCCTTGCCCAGGTGAAGAAACCTGCCCTGGCTGGCTTGGGCCTCGGATTCCCTGCGCTCCGAGCCCCCGCCCAGGCCCAGAACAGGGTGTGGAGGCCGGGGACCGCGGAGGGCGGCTCCGGGCGGCCGAGTAAAAAGTACGGCGGCGGGAGGCGGCGCTTCCTGCTTCCCAACTGGCGGCCCACCCCCGGGGCGCGGGGTGCCCACCTGGGTCCCAGCCCCCGGCGCCTCCGCCCCAGCCCCGATACGTCCTCCTCCCGCCGGGAGCCTTCTCCAGCGGCCGAGCTCACCCCGAGCCGCCCTTCCCGGGACAAGGCGAGGCCCGGGCGCGAGGTCCGGAAGGGCCCGCCACCGCCGCC